GAAAAGGGTAATGTTTTTGGCATTTTGCTTTCTGTTGGTTCGAAATTTACGTTTTATGTTATGAGTCTTATTGAATTCGTTAATCTGGCAAGTAACTTGTAAATCTTTTTTTGTACTATTGTGGTTCACCTAGAAAATTGGTACGGTTGTTGCTTTGAGTGTTAGAAGTGTTTTAAGTTTGAAATTTGATAAGCTTTTTATAGCTTTGTTGTGCTAATGAACTGTGAGTATGTGTCCGTGGTAACATTTTGATTGTTAAGGAATTATAGCGGTATACTAATAAAATCGGTCACTGCTGATTCTGGTATTTTTCTACCTCATGAATTATTTTGATCAGCATTTCCTAATTTCTATGAAATAAATTTCAGGAAGAGTTAACCTGCGCGATGACATCTGAGTATACATTGTCTTCTGCACCTGCACTTAAGAGAGGAGCAAGCACTGAGGCATCAGATGCTGCCGAGAGGAAAAAGTCAAAAGGGGTAGCAACACCCTTGGTTACATATATTGTCTGTTTTTTTTTTCGTCTTTATTTTGGTATTTGGTGCCGTTACTTTGTTAACTAGATTACGGACCAACTTCCATGTGTTTTTTGCTCGACAGTTTCCCATTGTGTATATATCCTGAACTTCTTGTACAGGGGGACCTTTCTGAGGAAGAAATTAGTGGAGGAAACCCAGCACCAAATTCGACTTTGGACGAAAGGTTTTTCTTCCTCCAAAATGCATAGTGTGTTGTATCATGTATGATGGCTTTGTTTCTTCCTGCTCTTTTTTTTTTTTTNCAAGAATATAAAGAGGGCTAAACCCATCTGTTAGATTAGTTTACATGGTGTGGTAGGATATGGGTGGAAATAAGCAATCTTGACCACTGCATGAGTGTACATTATTTCCAACTTTTAGCTTGTATCTGTTGCCCACAAAACTTTGTCTTTATCTCTAAAGTTTCATAGAATTGAACTTGGTGATTGTGTGGCTTTTTTTTTCTATTTAATGAGAATCTTGGAACATTTATAGAAGTTGTTGCTAATACCGTGTCTAATTCCCATATGTACAATGTGCATGGTTTCTGCAGTTATGCATTCGGATCTGTGATCATGCTAAAGTTTTGTTGTTGAGATGCATTTTCCTATGATTTGGCTTGAAGTGTTCCATTTACTCTTTCGTTTATGCTTTTAAATTTTTGTTTTACTCTTTTAGGAGTTCCTTAAATATCTCAAATGAGCTCTTGCGTTGTGAACCTATGGTGATGCGTGGCAAGGAAAATGACACTGCTGATATCGGAGGTTATTCAGAAATGCAGGTTCTGTTTTGGCAATACTCCTTTTGATTTGGGGGTGATTAGGTAGATGTGTTGACCATATATTATATATCTATATTGATGTATATTACTATATGTGCATGGTTGGCAGTTTGATTAATTATGTCTTCTTGAAAAGTTTTAGGTAGATATTTAATTGAGCACTTGTTTAATGTTCATCCTTTTGTAGATTCATAATGAGAATTTTAAAATGTGGACTGTGAAAGTAAATAGGCAGAAAGTATGTGGTTGCAATCAAATTTCATAACGGAAAGATTTTTTAGAAGGAAAAAAAATAGCTCTGAGCAAGCCTTTTCTTCTCTTTGTTAGAGTATTTATACCATTTTTTGATTGAAATTTTCAGGTAGATATACCTTTAGCTCCTATTCTCAGCTATGCCGAGGAGGTGTCTATGATGGTCAACACTGTCATTCAAGTTTTCTGTAAGGTAATTTTGTTGAAACTATTTTATTATTTTAATTTATTTGTTTTTGTATATTTTATTAGCTTGCATACGTGGTTTGGTTGGTTGGTTAGTGAGATGCTGCCCACATGGAGATTCCTTTTTATTTTGAAATAATCTGTGTTTCTTTTGCCTCTCTTATTCTTCTTCTCGTTCTCGTTTTGCAGTTAGATGCTGTGATTGATATGGCTAGGATACTAGATAAGCAGCCACATGTTAGGCAACTCGTGGTAGATATTTTCCAATCCCTTAAGCTTGCTGGTAAAGATGGTAAGGATGGTAAGCAAGTAGTAGCAACTCTTGGTGCACAAGTGAGAAAGTTGTTTGGAAGTCCCGAGTTTATAAAGGCATTTGTTGACACACATGAGGAGGTATTCTGTAGAATCTGTTTTCGCATGAGGGACTAATATGTTCATTCCAAACAAGTAGATATACGATTCCTATTCTCATAATAATTTGGTAGGATCCTATGCTGTTAGCATACATTAACACGTTCTCATTGGACGAAAATGACCAAGTACGAATGGAATATCTGAAGAGGGATGCCTTGTTTGGATTCTTTTTGGCAGACAAACAAGACTTTTTTGATATGAGGTTATAATTTAATACCTACCACTGTGAATTGGATTTATTGATCAATAACTATTCATTACATAATACCAATTACATATTATCGGATCAAATTATGTTACTTTGTGGTTTGAAGCACCACCAAGTGTAATTACTTATTTATTTGTCTTTTTTTTTTTCTTTTTCCTTTTTAAAGGTTTGTCTTGGCAACTATACTGGGGTATTGGAGTGATGAAAGGTATTATCTCAAGTTGATTGAAGAGATCAAGAAAGCAGGCGTGGAACTGCGACGGGCAGATGTAATTATAGCTGATGACCCTCATCCTTGTACTGCGCAGGTATATATTTCTTTATTGCCTCTATTTTTCTCAATATTCCATCTCTGGCTACGTTGAAAATAGTGAATATTAACAAGTCAGTGTATATCATTACTTCCAATGGAACATTCAGGGTTTCAAAGATGTGCTGAAAGCTAAATACAAGAATGTTGTTTATGAGCAGATATGTGAAAAGGTAAGCGAGATGCTACTCTTCTTATAAATCTGGCAACACTTATATGTATATCTATATGCCCTTGATCAAGTGACGACAAAATGACTTGTAAATTGATCTTTTTTCTTATTTATTTGTTTCAACTTGTAGAATGATCTTGATGAACGTTTTCGCAAAGTATGTATCCGACCTTTTCACCGCCCGATAAGATACCTGTGGATTGAGTGGCTTGACGAAAATACCATTAAAGTGCAGCAGCTCGGGCATGGGGAACACCCATATTTTGTCCGCAGCAATTGACATTTGTTTTTCTTTTTCCAGTCGGTTGAGAACTTTTGCTATGAAGTATGAGTGTACCTTGAGTTGTTTCGATCTGTTTTTTATGGCCTTGTTTTTTGGATTTTAAATAAAAAGGAGAACTGGTATTTGATTCTTGTGATTTTTCAGAATATGTTCTCTCAGAGTAGAAGAAAAACATAACAAAAGATATCTTCAAATTTCAATCCTTTGTGATTTATTCCGAAAATGTTCTTCAAATCTTGATTGTGCTCATATTTCTTCAAATTTCGTTGTACACTTCACCGACTAATGCCATTAAAATCCGAAACTTTTTTTTTGTTTTTAACGGAACGATAGGAAATCTCACATAAATCACGAGAATGATACAAAGTTCGAATACAGATGGGTACAACCCAAATTGAGGGCACAAACCAGAGAGGATTACATTCAAACCATGTAGCCTAAATAACACATCTAATAACAAGCCTAAATAACACATCTAATAACAACACCCAGAGGATTACATACAAACCATGTAGCCTAAATAACACATCTAATAACAACACCCAGTCTTAACCAGAAGCAATACAAACACTGAGACTTCTGGCTAAGAAGACATACCAACCAGTACACAACAAAGAAATACAAGAGCAGACCCAAAACAACCTAGCCACTGAACTATCCCAAAAGAGATAGACCTACCAAAGTCTTCAAGTCCTCAACTTCAAGTAACAAAGTACACCTGTGCAACTTCCCTCCAATCTCCAACTGCTCCCTTCACAACATCTAGCTCTGGCCTCCAAACATTCTCAAATACCCATAAATTCCCAGATTTTCAAAGCCACCAAAGGATTATAGATAGTAAGTTCAATCCTGGCTTCAGAAATCTCAGAATTATCAACACCACAAATCATCCCCCACCAGTCACAAAATATGAATTTGAAAAGATTGACGAAAAATTCGTACCCGGGCATAAGTGCAAAGTGAAACAATCCTCTTTGATTGAATTCGAAAAGATTGAGGAAGACGACAATGAGGTAGACGAGCCCAATATGACACCGATACACACGGGGATAATCCCGAGATCTCGGTCCATGCAATGGCAGGAACTCAAGGATCCAAGACGATGAGATTGTCGGCGTGGGTCCGAAATCGAAGAGTCGTGGTGCTAGTGGATAACGGTTCGTCTCATAATTTCATTAACTCTATCTTGTCCAATAAATTGAATTTACCGGTGACCAGGGTGGATCCTTTTGATGTGAGGGTGGCTAATAGGGACCGGTTGAGGTGTTCGGAATTCTTTAAAGATATGCCTATCAAGGTACAAGGGATGACTATAAAAGCCGACCTTTATGCATTGACATTAGTAGGACCAGATGTTGTTTGGGTGTGCAATGATTGGAAGGGTTGGGACCGGTAACGACAAATTATAAGGTGGGCACGATGGAATTTCGTTGGGGTAACGGAATAATTAAGTTGTCGACCGGGATTAATGAAGGAGCGAAGAAGGCGAGCTTGAAGAACTTAGAAAAATTGTGGAAAAGGGGTAGCCAACTCTTTGCTATCAAAGTGGAAAAGAAACGGGAGGAGCTCGAGAATGGACCGTCAATTAATCATGAGATACAGGATTTGCTAGATCAATTTGGTGAAGTGATGACCGAACCCAAGGGTCTTCCTCTACGGCGGACTTTTGATCACCACATACCATTGAATGATGAGAATCAGGCTGTACGTGTCCACCCTTACCATTATGCTCATTTTCAGAAAACGGAGATTGAGAGACAAGTACGTGGAATGCTAGAAACCGGGTTGATCAGGCGCAGTACTAGTCAATTCTCTTCTCCCGTCTTACTAGCTAAGAAGAAGGACGGGATTTGGCGTTTCTATACCGATTATCGGGCTTTGAATGCGGCAATCATAAAAGACCGATTGCCAATCCCTAGTATTGACGATATGTTGGATGAGCTTGGAGGATCAAAATAGTTTTTGAAGTTGGATTAAAGGGTGGGTGTATCACCAGAGGATCAAAATAGTTTTTGAAGTTGGATTAAAGGGTGGGTGTATCACCAGATAAGAGTAGCGGAAGAAGATATCCCGATGACGGTGTTCCGTACTCATCTAGGCCACTACGAATATCTGGTAATGTCGTTTGGGCTATATAATGCTCTTTCGACCTTTCAATTTGCCATGAATTCTATCTTTCGGGAGTTTTCATGTAAATTTGTTTTGGTGTTTTCTGATGATATATTGGTATGTTCAAAAAATTGGAATGAGCATCTTGAGCATTTGAGATTGGTATTGAGCATATTGGCGAATAATTCTTTTCATATTAAACCGTCTAAGAGCTCATTTGGCCAAAGATAGGTGGAATATTTGTGGCATATAATCTCTTATGAAGGTATGAAGGTGGATCCTCGAAAAATTGAGGCTATGCAAGAATGGCCGAAGCCGAAGAGTTTAACAAAATTGAGAGGAGTCTTGGGACTCACCGGCTACTACTGGAAATTTGTCAAAGATTATGGCTCGATTGCTAAGCCATTGACGTACATGACCAAAAAGGGGGGATTCAAATGGACAACGGCGAGCGAGAGGGCCTTTGATCAACTCAAGTTGGCTATGACTACTACTCCCGTCTTAGCCATGCCCAGATTTGCCATCATGTTTGAGGTACACACCGATGCTAGCTATACAGGAATTGGGGCCGTACTATCACAAGAAAACTGACCGATCGCTTATTTGAGTAAGGCTTTAGGGAGTGATGTAGCATAGCATCGCGACTCGGATGATAAGAATGAGGTTAGCGGCTTGAACCGGTATGACGAACTAATTAAATTGGGTTTTTGGGCCGAGCTTGGTAAATCCCGGTAGGGGAGTTGAGCTCGGCGGTCGACGTAGTTGAGCTCGGCGGGTGGTGGAGCTGAGCTCGGCGGAGCAAGTGTATAGCTCTTCAGCTCGTCGAGGAGATGATATGTTGCGACATGGCACTCTTACGGATATCACGGAGATTCTCCGGGAAGGGGTCATGTAGGACTCTAACTCTATCTCAAAACGTGCGTCATTCGGTGGTAGGGGGGAAGGACTCTGGGTATAGTAGGAGTCTTCCTAGGGCCCTTTTTCTCCCTAATAAAAGGCGACAGGTTCTCAAAATACAACACACACATTATATTAAAGTACGCTTTGTCTTCTATATCTGCTACTTCTCCCGAATTCTTCACTGACTTGGGCGTCGGAGTGTTTGCGCCGGGACCAACCCCGGCGTACTTGCAGGTTATCGGCAATTCAAGGAGGGAAAATCGACTCGGAGAAGTGGTCCAGCAGTTCGAGACAATTTGGCGTATCAGGGAGCATGCGCATAGGGTGGTCAGTATACGTGAAAGAAATGCTCGCCGTCATTGAAGCAGTAAGGGTTTGGAGACCGTATCTTTTGGACCGACGTTTCATGAGTGTGACGGACCAACAACCTTTAAAGCATTTACTAGAGCAACGCATAGTGACCCTGGAGCAACAGAAATTTGTATCAAAGTTGATGGGGTTCGATTTCGAGAAATGCTATCCACCGGGACGACAGAACTTGGTGGCGAATGCACTGTCTCGTCGCACTTATGTGACGGAACTCCAAGCTATTTTCGGGCCAACATGGGCTATATGGCATCAACTACTGGAGGTACATGCCCGAGATGCCTTCTGTAATGAAATTCGACGGCTTATGGAGGTAGAAGATGACACAGCTCAACACTATGATGTGTATGATGGGTTTTTGATGTTCAAGGGAAAGGTGTATGTACCGGAGGTGAAAGACTTGAGAACCTCAATCATACAATATTTTCATGATTCAAAGATTGGAGGTCATTCTGGGGTATCCACATGTGGGTGCGATTGTCGAGTACCTTTTATTGGCCAGGGCAGAAAAATGAAGTACAGGATTTTGTGGCGAAATGTGATGTGTGTTAACGGGTGAAATCGAATTCACGAAAACCAAGTGGGTTGTTGCAACCCCTACCAATACACAATCACATATGAGAAGATATCTCGATGGACATAATTGAAGGGTTACCAAAATCCAACAAGTTCAACGGAATTATGGTGGTGGTAGATCGTCTCACCAAGTATGCACATTTCATTCCGTTAACTCATCTGTGTACAGCCAAATCCATAGCTAAGCTATTTGTTGAGTTTGTGGCAAAGCTACATGGGGTACCACGGTCTATTGTAGCTGACCGAGATCGGATTTTTATGAGTAACTTCTAGAGAGAATTTTTCAAGATGTAGGGGACCGAATTAGCCATGAGTTCGGCGTACCCTTCTCAAACTGACGGCCAAACTGAGGTAACTAATCGTACACTTGAACAGTATCTTCGATGTTATATGATTGAGCAGCTCCGACGTTTTTTAGTTATTTGGTGGGAAAATCTCCGAATGCAGAGGTCGATCGGGAGTTAATGCAACGAGATTTGTTAATCAGGGAGCTTAAAAAAAATTTATCCGGATCCATTAACAGAATGATGCAGTACTATGACAAGGGAAGCCGGGAGGAGAGATTCGAACCTGGTGATTGGGTTTATCTCAAGTTAAAGCCACATCGTCAGCAAACCATTTCTCAGAAGGCCTTGTACAAGCTTGGGAGTCGGTCGATATTACGGGTTGTATAAGATCATGAAGAAGGTAGGCGAGGTGGCATACAAATTGGAATTAGCCGTGGAATCTCAAATTCATCCGGTAATCCATGTGTCACAATTGAAAAGGAGCTTAAGTGATGAACATGAGGCACATACTTGGTTACCGACGATAAATGGGGAAGGACAAATCATTGTACAATCTCATCGAGCAGTCGAATATCAACGAATCAAACGAGCCGACTGTTTTCGGTGGGAAGTCTTAATCGAGTGGGAGGACTGGTCGGAAGAATAAACAATTCGGGAGAATTTACAAGATATTCGCACTCAATTTCCGACATTTATCCTTGAGGACAAGGATGTTGGGTTCGATAGTACCGTACGGGCTGTACGCAACGGAATTTAAAATTTTTAAAGTAAATATTTATCGTATAAATACAACACCCGTACATACTAATTGCGAATTAACTGATCGTCATCTTTAA